GAATTAGAACAATAATAAACAAGTAAGCAACACATATAAAAAATATGGAGCTCAATTTTTAAGCAAGTAAGCCACCCAATATATGCTTATTACAACAATGTATTGACAACCATTCCAACTGTCCTAGGAAGGACCATATCTTGTATTCATCCTAAACTAGTGAAATTTGTTCAATTGGGAAAGGGCACAAAATTTTCATATAAAAAATATGGTGCTCCTTTCAATGTTTATTTTATCAAACTACATGTCTGAGATTGAACAAGTCAAAGGCTATCAAGACCGGTCCTTACTCCCCTAGCTAAATTTCTAACACGTAATACACATCAATTCTCTTTCTTTGATATTAAGATCTACATATATATATATACAAAGAATAAAATGCCTGTAACCTTCAAGAAACATTGAAACAATAATGGGACTGGGTTATATAATTGGAAAATACATGAAAGGCGAAAGAAAAGTTAATAACACAGAATCCTGAACCAGCGCATGCATATTTTTCAGCAAACAATGAAGAGTTAATATCAGCCTTTTGTGTGAAACTATCAAAGCAGAGATAGAGGAAATATGCGACTTTTGAAGAAAAAAAATTATTGACATATTTCAAACAGAAGTATATCATATCTATCACCACGCAACTGTAAAAATTATTCAGGAAGAAACCCGTGCACTCCGAATGTGCCTACTGCTATGCAAACTCATTCTGCAGGGGAAGTCTAAAAGCCAAAGCTATACATAATCATGCAACAGTCAAAGAAATTGCATAAAGGCATTGTAGGATAGATATAATCCTGCTAAAAAACAGGTCATTTATAAAATTAAATCAGGAGATGCATGTAAAATATGCCACTTTTCTGAAAAATAAATCAACACCAAAAACAAGGATAAAACGAGAGCGTAGCAGTCTTATCCCCAGCTGGAAACTAACGATATAGAGAATTGAAATTTACATTTCCCTCCGCCGAGAATAGTGTGCACTGGCTCCTTCCGTCCAAAGAGGCGTTTCTTCCTTCCTGCAGGGATCGACGGCTCATCCTTTTCTGACTCCGAAGAATAAGATGGTCGCTTGTACTCATGAATTTTATCATGGATTTCCTCATATAGAAAGGCGTGACCCACATCTTCCGACATCTTTGACTCTCAAATCCTGATCATAAAAAATGCATTAGGGCATCTCCAACCGAAAACTTCATTTTTCACGGCAAAGTAACGCAAAACTTCAAAATATATGCCCGAATCGAAAAATAAATGAAATAAACAATACATGCCGAATCATTTGAGTTAACATATCTGAAACTGAAGGATGAATAAATCTAAATTTGTGATCTAGAACAAAAAAAAATTCAAAACAGAAAATCGTACATGACTGCCTGAGACATTTTCCACAAAATTCAAAACAATGGGACGCAGTCGATTAAGCTAGCGAGTAGGGTTACATTTCTATGAAAGAAGCCATTTCATCTCTTCCGCGTACCTTCGTTTTCGATCGCCTCGGCGGTGGCTTGATCGATCTCTCGCTTTTCCCACTCGCGAAAAACTGAAACTGGCGTAGCAGGAAAAGGCGGGGTTCTTATATACTGTATTTTCCTATTCATCCGACGGTTGATGTGGATATTCGGATCCAACGGCTGGGAGAATCTCTGCGGCTTAAATATTTAACGCAACGGTATGGAATAAAAAATTTCTTACAATATTTTGAGTTAATTATAAATTATTCTTATATAATAATTTTTTTAATTTTTTAATTATTTATATATATATATATACATACAAACAGATATGCCACTACTAAAAATTTGGATTTTTCACAGCAGATGTTAGGAGCGGTTTTAAAACCACGGCCAAAACCAACTTTTAACATCAGTTTTAGCCGCTGCTAATTATACCGGTTTTAACCGGTGCAATTAGCACCGGTTTTAACCGATGCAGATAGTACCATTTTTTAATGTCGTTGTAGCGCATAATAAATACAGCGTATTTGTAGCGGTTTTAGAACCGCAGCAAAGAAAATTGTGGCTGTTAAAACCACCACGATAGCTCAAAATTTGTGTTGCGATTACCTTATTTTTTTGGTAGTGTGCTCAACTCGAATAGATTTTAAATTGAGTCTATTTTGGATGAGATTGAGCTCCTTAGAGATCAAAATGAAAAGTATGAGTGCACGTGCATGTTAGACTAAGAACTTATCATAAGATATTCAAAATTTACTAAGATCAAATCTATTTTTTTGACTAGAATTGAAGTTAACAAGCTATGACTTGCTTAAATAGATTGGATTGTGTCAACCTATAACAAGAGTTGGTTCAATTTGAGTCATATGAAATAATTTTGAACTTATCTTGAGTTGGGATTGAGGAGATCAGAGATGAGATCATTAACAATATTAATTAGGCGAGTAAAGTAAGCGGAAAAAAAAAAAAAAACTTTCATGTGAAAATTCTTCAAAATAAAAATTATAGAGATTGCCGCGAAGAAAATGAAATAGTTGATATAATCTACAAAAAGCTCCCTTTTTTATGACTTAGAGAAAATGAATAAAAAAAAACAAGTTAAAGATCAAACTCCTAAAGTATCCCTTGTGATAGTGATGCAAGGAGTTTAAGGGTACTACGAAAGATGGTCGAGACAATCCTTGCCCTAGAATAGCTATATAACAATCTTATTCTTTTATTTTTTAGCATACAAAAATCTGAGCTATCCAGTATCATTTATCAATATAAACAGCGAAAATAAATTCTATAATTAAAATTATCATGTATATCAGCATTTATTTATTATATATATTACTCATGAGTATTCACATATTATCCATATATTCTATATCAATATCAAATCAGTGTCTTACATGCTCAAATGCTCAACATGTCACATGCTTAGTATTAATATAGTGAATCAATAATATCAAACATTATTTGTGTCTATATTAGTATCAAAAACATTTCAGTGCTAAGAAAAATAAAATAATATAATAATAATAAATCTTTGAAATAATAATAAATATGCACAATAATAAAAACAGTTCCTCAATAACATGTATTCAATAGTCACACTAAATAAGTAAGAAGTTATTGTTATTACCGTATTTTTCAATAATCAATAATTAATAGTTGTTAGCCATTGGATTAGTAAACAAGGTCCTTATTCTTTGCTTGTTGCATAATAATAACTATTTATAACTCTCAATTAGTATCACGTGAATCAGTAGTGGATAATACTAAACCACAGTATTTAAAGGAAAGTCCATCGGCCTACCATCCTATACAAGTCAATCAGCCTCTAACTAAAGGGTCAACTAATCTTCACTTGTCTTTTACACATACACATTCTTATCATATTATTATAATAATAATAGTGACCAACTATTACTCAATCACATATTCATACACATGTTCAATGCATTATAGTAAATAACTTATTATTGAGCTCAATTTAAAAAGTGTTAAAATGTCATAATGACAGGTAACCAAAAGCCCTACTGAGCAAAAAATTCATATTTTATGAAATTAACCAAATTAGGCTCAAGCTCATTTGGAAAGCACGAGCTTGAATTAATTGTTAAGCTCGATTTCTTTGTTTTAAATTAAAATTTTTGATTTTTTTTAGGAATTTTAATTTTAAATATATAATTAATTTAAAAAGGTTAAATGTAATATATTCTTTGTTTTAATTTTTTTTTTTAAGAATTTGTTATTTTAAATATAGAATTAATTAAAAAAGGTTAAATGTATTATATTCCTTGTTTTAAATTAATTTTTTTATTTTTTAATAATTTTTATTTTAACTAAGAATTAATTTAAAAAGGTTAAATGTATTATATACTGCACATAAATGGCAACCTTACAATGATCCGATTAGATGTATTAGATTTGACTTATGTTAAAAAATATAGAGGTTGACCTAAAAAGACTTGGTTAGAAAATATTAGAAATGACATTTCTTTATTAGATTTAAATGGAATTTAACTTTTAACATAGCACAATGGTGAAAAAGGTTCATGTGGCCGACCCACTGTGTGGGATAAAGGCTTGATGTTGTTTTTATTGTGTATTTTAAGATAATCAAGCTGCTCAACAAGCTTACAAGTCGGGCCAGGTTGAGCTCAAGCTCTAACTCGAATTTATGACTTGATAAATTAGACTCGTGAGCTCATTAATGAGTCGATCTAGAGCCGACTCGGCTTCCTTACACCCTTTAAATACTGATTTGCATTCTTTCCTAGTATTCATGTATTTACCTATCATTTCATTTGAATCATTCTAGTTTAAGGAATATTAAACAAAAATGACATGATATTTAAAATTGAATATAAGGAGTGTAAATTTAGTAGCAATAGACCTAGTTAGGGGATTGTGACTTTGGGCGATCAAGTCATTAATAATAGTACACGTTTTAGATATATTGGATATATTGCTCAGAGTGATGGTGAAATAGATGGGGATATTGTCAATAGAATTCAAGTTGGATGGTTGAAGTAGAGGAATGCATCAGACTTGTTGTGCAATAGAAAAGTCCCCCTCAAACTTAAGGGTAAATTCTATAAGATGGTGGTGAGACCTGCAATGCTTTATGGTGCTGAACGTTGGCCATTAAAAGAGAAGCATAATACTAAGTTGAGTGTTGCAGAGATGAGAATGCTTAGGTGGATGGGTGGCTTTACCCTTAGATATAGGATACGAAATGAGCATATATGTGAAAAAGTTGGAGTAGCTCCAGTGGAAGATAAGATTAGAGAGAGTGGCCTTAGATGGTTTGGTCATATTAAATGGAGGCCTTCTAATGACCCAGTTAGAAAAGTTGAGATATTATATTTGACTTATGTTAGAAAAGCTAGAGATAGACCTAAAAAGACTTGATTAGAAAATATTAGAAATGGTCTTTCTTTATTAAATTTAAATGAGAATTTGACTTTTAATAGAAAAATGATGAAAAAGAATTCATGTAGCCAACCCCACGTAATGGGACAAAGGCTTGATATTACAGTTATTGTTATTGACATGATATTTAAAGCAAAACACAAAAAGCAAGCTGCCTACCTGCATGCCAAATTTGATTGAGAATATTATAAGAATGTGAAACTAATTCTCAGTTCCCCAAGGCAAGGGCGCTCATTTGCCATATTGCTTCATTGCCAAACCAGTCAAACCAAGTGAAAAAAAAAAAAAAACAATTCAATAAAAAGCTGATGAAACAAACACCCATGAAAATTTGATTTCACTAACCGCTGCAGAACATTTGCAGGTCATTTCGTTTATTTCTGGTTAGAAGATGTCTGAACGCTAAGAGGGAAGGTTTTCCTGCACCGAAAGCCAAGAGAAAGTGAAGTCAATCCTGACCACCAAAGAAAGACCACCATCTCCTGTTCCTATTTGCACCAGTCATTCTACCATGAGAACTGTGCGATTGCTGCATATCATGATCCCTAACCCCGCACTGAATCCTTCCCATGGGCATAAAATTCCGCATCCAAGTTGCAATAGCAATACCAACAATGGCCACAATTGGAGCCGCAGCAATCAAAAGCCATTGTACGTTGCCACCATTGTTTGACCTTCCTTCGACATCATCATTGCAAGCAATATCAGGTTGATCTTCTGCATGTTGATCCTGCTCATTAGCTTCATCTCCTATATCACTTGATCCATCAGAAGAGATTTCATCAACCGGCTCCTGAAGCCGCATTTCATCGATAACGGTTCTGACATTGTTGTGTTTTCCCTCCTCATACTCTTGGTCATCTGTTGGAAGTTCATATCGACAAACGGGGCAGGAGTTCCTAGTTCTTAACCATGGTAATATACAGGAAGGGTGATATAGGTGTGAGCAAGGAAGCTGCCTTGCTTCAGCATTAATTGATAAAGGATCTTTGCAAACTGCACAGACAAGAGTCCCATTCTTCTCGTGATCCTTTGATATGATCACACAAGGCAGACTCTGCACAGAAGAAGTTGCAGCAGGAGGTGCCCCTCTTCTTGAGCTATCCGCTTCTGCGAGTTGTTCAAGGAGCTCCTCAAAGCCCTGTGCATCTATGTAGTCACCTGAGTTACCAGTAAAAGGGGAAATATCTATTTCATCTGTATCAGTAAAGAGATCGACAGGACGTAGACGCCGTCGAACCCAAGCACCATTTTGGGGGCTTGTGGCACTACCATTTGGACTGTTAGTATCCAGAAGATGTATTGATGCTTCTACTACGCTAACCTCCTCCCATGCTCCATATTCACCCTGGTCATCTGAAGTCCATTGGTCTAGACCAGCATGCATAGGATCAATGTCTGTGTCAGTGTGGATGCGGCTTTCGTTATCGAGAGGGCTAAGTATTTCCCTATCTATTATGCTATGGCCATCAACTGAAGCGTCTGAATCACCTCCATAACCACCAAAACTTATATGTGAGTCAGACTCAATGCTATCGTTATCTGTATCAGAATTTACCCTACGAACTCTTCTTAACCAGTTCCTATAAGTATAACTTGGACGCTGATGGATGGCAATTGTTGTGTCATCGTCAAGCTGTAGATCACGATTTTGTCTTGCCAAACCAATCATCTGTGAGAACTGCTGTGAGAACACACTCTCTACTGATTCTGAACTCGGATATCTTGAGGTTCTTCTCCTCTGCCTTCCCGAAGGATTTCTGGCAGTCAAGCCTGTTTCAATATCGTCCACAACCAAGGATTTGCACTCTCTGCATAAGCCTGATGGATCAAGACCTTCGTATACTTCGACCCATGGTATAAAAGTTCTTCTGCAGACTATGCATTGCATCTCCAGTAGCTCCTCTTGATAAACAGCGTCTCTGTTCTCTTGCAAATCTTCTAATGAAATAGAATATCCATGAGATTCAGCATCCATCTACAAAGTGAGATAACAAAATTTAACCTATATGGAGAAAATAGAGCAAACAAAGTGCCATTACCTCCTTAACGACTTACAAACAGTTGAAACGGGAAAAGACACCAAGCAGGAAGCCGTACGTGAGAGTTAAGGATGTACTAAAGTAAAAGAGAGAATTTATATATGGTAATCACAAACTTATTTTCCCAGGAGCTACTCACAAAATTTGGATTAAATGGCCAAGTTTGCATCTGACATAAATATCTGGAAGTTGCAGATCAATAATTTATAGTGTAACATCCTTAAATTTTATTTTAAAAAGAAAAAGATTTTGGACCTCACCTACCCATATTAAAACAATTATAGGAGGAAGCAAAGAGACTCAGTGAGTGAGAGAAAGACAAGAGGATGTAAGAGAGGTGACAAGAACATGTGATTGAGAGAGAGAGAGAGAGAGAGAGGAGGGAGATCAGAGGTAGAATAAGCGATGTAGAGAGGGATCAAAGAGTTATAGAGTGCGGATAAGCACGAGAAAGGGAGAGGGAGAGAGAGCGAGAGTTGAAAATGGAAAGAGCTGTGGAGAGAGACGAGTAAGCGGAATAAGAAATAGTGAGGAAGGATCCGAAGAAGATTGTGACACAACATCTTGTTTTGATGCCAACAACCTCAAGGAATGGTGTTTAGTTGCTCTTCTCCTTTCATTTTCCCTAGACTTTAAAGAGAAATTCCATTGCTTTAAATTAAAAGATACTTTGAAATAAGTAACGTTCATTTGACAGATGATTGAGGACTTACTAATTAACAATTAAAAATCTAGAGTTAATTGGACTCTTCTCTAAACAAGTTTTAAAGAAAAAATCTAAACCCAAGAATTGCATTTCCATTATTTTTGTGCAACTTTGTTTGGAATTGCTAGTTGTTAATAGAGCCATTGTCACGCCATTGACTTGACTCAAAAATAGATAAATATAAACTTTACTTGGATTAAAGTTTAGGGCCTAAACTTTTCCAAACCAATATTCTCTATAATTAAGTTTTTTTATTAACCCTTGTTTTTATTTAAAGGTTATATAGTAAAACTTTTCGAATATTTTTAGAAAAGATTTGTACAAACTTAAAATTTAATTTAACTACATTGTACAATAGAAACTTCATATTAGTTAATAGTTATACTGAATTCCATTTTGGGTTAGTTCATTTTCATTGAAAGATTATGAAAGCGTGATGCTAAATAGAAATATCATCTTGTAAATAATCCATATGTTGTTTTCTATGGGGCGGTTGGGGCCATTTTAATAATTTAATTAGTGGAATAATGGTTTTATGTAATTGCTTTAGTTAGTGAAGCTAATAAAGTTGGATTGGGTGTTGGGCGTACTTATGCCTCTTAGAGATCTTAAGATATTTATTTCATGCCTTGTAGTTGCTTCATATAAAAAATGTGATTTAAACTTGCTATCATTGATGAGTTCAGGTTAAGGCTGCAGCACAAGATTGCCCTCCAACTATTTGAGATAGCTAGCGTGGACTTAATTAAAAATCATTTTCTTTGTTTATGTTTTGTTGTTGGTGCATGAATTCCTTGGGTTAAATTGCAATATTTCTTCTCTTAGCTTGCTTGTTGACAATTTGTTAATGTGGGACTTCATATTCATGTTTGCTTAAAATATCTAATATTTAATACAAGCACGTCGGGAAATTTTAAGTTCGCAAGTTCAAATTTTAAGTTTATCATTGCTCTGATTTATTTGGTGATATTGATTGTTTATATGATTGCTCAGTTGATATACATTAACTGAAAATTTAATAAGTCACATAATCTTTTCATTACATTGATGAAATTCATAAGAATGATTTGGCTGGGTGTCCCATGTTGCAAATAAAGGTCAAACTTTCAACAATGTTGCATCAAATAAAGCTTTAAAACACAAAATCTTATTTGAAAAGCCAAGCTAAAATTTCAAAGAAATCTAGAAGACACTTTCAAGTTTGCATTGCCCCCCACCCCCAATCTTTCGAAATAATACCCTTCTTGCATGGTAGATGAGAAATCATCTTGCATATGTAGTGCAAGCATTTCAAAACTAACGGATCATAAATAAATTCACTTGCTCAACATTAAACACTTCCAATATGAGGATGAACATTGGCTTATTCATGTCATCTCAAGCTCCTTACTTGGCTCTCTATAAATTTCCATTAATCACCTTACACCAAAATCACCACCATAAATGGACTTTCTTCGCATTAAATCAAATTAATTAATCTTATACCAATGTAATTTTTCAAAGTCTATGCTTTATTGTTCTCTCCTATAAATTTATTATATAACATGTAAGTTTAATTCGTCCATAATCATCAAAATATTGAGAATCTACTTTGTTCTCAAATGTTGATACCAAAATATTTCTTCTCAAATCACTTGGCATATTTTTGGTAATGCAAGGTAGGCAGCAAAGAAGAAGAAAAATGGAGATCAGAGAAAAGGGGTGAAGAAAGATACAAATAAATCCTCAATTTATTAGTGTTGGATCTTTAAAACATCAGGCCTCATAATCTTCAAGGAATGATGTTTGGAATCCTCAAAATACGAAGCAGGAGATGGGAGCTCTTAAGCATTCATAAGGGATTGAAATCCCATAGAAGTATAGAACCGTAACTCCAAATAATTCATTCATCGACACATAATTACATGACTTTGTGCGATATTTATAATAATATGATCTCATTCAAAATGACAAAACTACCTTTGAACAAATAAGAAAAATGCCAAAACTAGTTTTAGATGGAAAATGATATTCTAAGCACTGAAAATTAGTTTAGAGACAATTAATGACAAACATAAGAAAAAACATGACACAAACCATGACAAATTTATTCAATAAGACTATGATTGACATCCAAGACTAAGCATCTTGAACCCATCATTTTATCTTAAAAGTTCATTGAAAATTATTTGTTAAACAAACCGCTACAATATTGTATATAGCTTTCTAAATTTCATTAGGCATCTCACGTAGCCCCAAAGGTTTATCTTTATGCATTTTCTTCAAAGCTAACGTACATTCATTACCATGGGATAATGATAATCTATGATATACTCTAAAATCTATTCATCATGCACTTTCAAAAAAACTTCTTCTTTGAGTACCTCATCTTAATAATTTCCCAAATTAACATTTTCATCTTTCATTAATAACTTCACACATTTTTTTTATCTTAGCTTTAAACACATCTAACTTCCTTGTTATAGTTATAAAGATGCTTATAAAGAATATTCAATATCAAATGCATCAATATATACTTTTAGCATAAGGCATAGTCCTAATTGCTTTAAACGCATCTTGGGGCTGTTTGGCAACAAGTAGGATTTAACTTGAATAGTATTTACTAAATCTTGTAAATCCGGCTAAAGTTAAATCTTGAAAACTGATTGGTAACGTAAGGATTAAATCCTCTGGAGCTGTTTGGTAATGTAATCAGATTTAAGGCAGTTATTGTAAGTTGATGTTGGAAGCCAGGTTCCGCTGTCCACTCTCCACCTCTCCCACAGCCCGCAATCTTAAATCCGCAGAATTGCAGGATTTAGTAAATCCGGGATTTACTGCAAAAACGATGAGACGGAGGATTTATTCCTCCGTAACTTCCAACAACGCCATAAATCTTGTTTGGCAGGACTTCGCGTAAATCCTGCTCAAATCGGGGATAAATCCCATTGCCAAACAGCCTCCTAATATAATCAAAGTCTTTAGAACTATTAACACTTGTCTTAATTAATTTAAAATCTTATTTTCTTTTTTGTAGTATGTAATTCTATAAATCATATAAAGCTGTACATAATTAGAGTGCAATTTATGAAATAAGGTTCAAGTAATTTTATAGCAGTCAATTGAGGTATTATCTTCCGATTGGGATAATTAGATAAAATTTCCTAATATAGCTTCCAACTATTCAACCAATATGTAATCAAGATAATCCCAAGCATAATTACAAATAATTAATGTATTAAAAAAATATAGTTTAGAACTTTACCTAGCCCAATATATGAAGCAATAAGAAGATCGAGGACGAGTTTGGCAACCTCTAAATCCCGCCGCGCTTCTCAGCGAACAATATCCTTTCCAGCGAGTTCCTTAATAAAGAAATTGGAGAAGATAAAGAAGAGAAGCGTGAGTCGGAAAGAAGGGAAGTAGAACGAATGGATAAAAGAAAGTAAGGAATAAGCCCTATGCTGACTTTAGCAACGCATGCGTTACCTTATCTTCCGATCGTCAATCCAGCTCTTGTCAGTGAGAACTCCCACGTCGTCGTCTTCCTCACGGTCTCTGAAACTGTTCCCTCTTGCTGTTCCGGCTCCTCTCGATTTTGGTTAGGGGCTTAAGATGTTCCGTTGTTGGCCAATGGCCCGCCCAATATTTGCGGGAACGGGCCGTTCGGGTTGGTGACCGAAAATTTTTTGTAAGTACATAATACCGCTCAAATATACAACCTCGAAAAAAAAAAATTTTTTTCCTTCAACTAATGAAAAAATTATTAAGGGCGGTGTCCGAATAGATCCGGAGATCAATTCTGACGTGTCATATCATCTAATACATAATGTATTATATGATGTGATGCGTCTGAATTAACCTTCAAATGCATTCGAAGACCGCATTGAATAAATTTTTATTTTAATGTAATTGACATTTTCTTTAAAAGAAACTATTATGATAATAATATAATGTAAAAGGTATCATTTTAATATTATAAGAACGTATGAAATACATATAAAATAGTATATTAAACATAGTATTTTTTACGTGAAAAATCTTTAAGAAAAAAATTATGAGACTTAATATAATTTAAATTTTTCTATTGATATATGTTATATGTTATAAATGATAACATTATTATTTTTTGTTATTGAAAAAAATAATGATATAATGTAATATATATTCACTATGGGGGATGACATTTATGATTAAAGTAGGTGAAACTTTAACCTATTAGAATTATCTTTAAGATATCGTTTGTAATTTATTTTACTACTTTTCTTGAAATATGAGACACTAAAATATGAGAAGACTAACTTAAGTGTAAGTGTTGACATCAAGCATAACATCAGAATTAGTTTTCAATAGTTGAACAATAATTTATTCGTAAGCTATTTAAACGGTAGTTGAAATAATGGTGGTTGGGTTACAGTTAATAGGGAACTGCATAGAAGCAATGGATGTTGAATGTCAATAGTCTAGTTATTATGATCAAGATATGGTAATCGGCTTATAATTATTTAATGATTGTATGATAGTCAAGTGATGGTGGTGATCAGTAGTAATCATTTGATAGAGTTATATATAATTTTGACTCCTAATATAGGTCAAGCTCTAATTGCCCCTTTATGTAATTCATACACTTTTATGTAGGTGAATTGCAAATACTTGATGGATTCCCTTCAAGAAACTCGATCAAGAGGATCAAGTCATCAAAGCGGCACTCATCTGAATGGAATATAACCCAAAAGAGCAACAACTACCACCATCTCATGCTTAAACAACCACTCCCCCCCTATAGTTTACCTGATCACCACATAAAGACTCGTTCATACGGAATAAATAAATAATGTAGTCATTATTAGCGAAGTACTCCAAAGGACACACCCAAATCTTTTTATTCCTTGAGAATTACTCACCTTAATCAAATCATCTTACCCACAACAGTTGTTAGTGACAGAAGCCATTCACCTACCACAAACATTCCCCAATCAATCTACAAAAAATACACACCTTTGAAGCATAATTTGACAACAACTTCATTAGTTGGACTCATTCCTGGCTCTTGCCTATTATCGTCTAGGGGACTAATATCTTACTTCTAGAGACTTGACATTTGTTCATAGAAACTCACCTCTTTTTCATAGGGACTTGCCAGCATAGTCTCGCTGTGTGAAATCAGCTTTTGAAGACTCGTCGAAGTGACCCACTTTTCAAGACTCACACAAAGCACTCACTTGAGAGGAGGGGCAACATCAGAGTGAGGGATTAGCATAGACATCATTTGGCTAGTCAATATGTAAGTATTAGTTAGTAACAATCACATAATGTACTTTTCAAAAAAAAATTTTTTAGGTGCAATCTTTCATATATCTCTCTTAATCTTATAAATAAACAAGTGTGAGGTATATTATAAGAACTTTTTTCTTATAAGTTTTCTTCTTCTAAGGACAACTCCAACGGAGAACTCCATTTTTCACGGAAAAATACAACAAAACTCCAAAATACCGTGGTGCTGCTCCAATCAAACTGCATTTTAAGTACTTCTGCGAAGGTAACGATTCTTCTACATTTCGTACGTTTTTTCGATTGAGAGAGCAAAATAGTGTAGGTGAACAGTGCAACGCCAATATTGTGGTCGCACTGTTCAGCCGCAAGTAAATGACGGAAGATTTGAAGTTCGCCTGGAGCAACGGAACAATGCCATACGTACGTTTGACATTTGGTTAGAGATCGGATAGAGATGATCTAATCCTCTATTTTTTTTTTTAGATCTTCATTTCGTTGGGTCATTCCATGAGTTCATTTAATTTTTCACCTAGTTGTTTTAGCCCTAACCCATCAACGCAGGGATTACGGAAGGAATGACCACTAGGGCTTCCCCGTTGGATGGATTTAGATCCTCTTCGACGGATTCTACGCCGGCTCGGATCAGAGCCGGCGCCTCCTTCCTGCCTTGCCATGATGGCGATTCATGCCTCCTCCACTCACCGTGAAGGTTTGCTGTAATCCATCCAAGGCAAGTCCGCTATCGCTTCATTGTACAGGGCATGTATTCGCCAGAAGGTGGTTCCGCCTGGGCAGGTGAGATCTTCTTGTTCTTGCATCCATTCGTTAAGCCTCCTTGGCTTCGAGGGTGAAGCATTGGTTGCTTTCAAACTTGGTCGGGAAGTGTAGCTGAGTTTTTTTCATTAGTTTTCTGTATTTTTTTTAGTACGAGGGTTATTTCATTTAGTTATGCAGATAATTTATTTGAAGACAAGTTGATGATCCAGGTTTTGGACCGATGCTGATATTTGGCGGATGTGGTGGAATAACTATGGAGATCTTTGTTTGAGTTTTCTTGATTTGGGTGGGAATTTCGGATCTAGTGTGGGAGTTCTGTGCAGATGTTTTGGCCTACTATGTATTGATTGGAAATTGGATATTGTTTAGGGTTTAGGCTGTTTGCACGCAATTAGGATTTGATAAATCATATAAATCAAGATTTAGTAAAACTTGAGAGAATTAACCATCAGTTACAGCTGTGGTCGAATAGGTTGAAGATGAAGCGAAGGAGTACAAAGTTGAGACTTGGGGTACCCAGGTGGAAGGAAAGGGAGAGGTGGCCGAGGCTTGGTTGACCATGCTGGCTGATGAAGATGGCGATCGCAAGGATTTTTTTTTTGGTGTCAAATCCCATGCCTTCTCCATAGAGTTTCAGAAAGCTCAACGAATGCCAAACAGTTTGTTATGATTGAGGAGATTTAGGGGCTGTTTGGTATGCGGATTTAGGCCGGATTTAAGGCCGGATTTGGGCGAAATCCAGCCAAACGGCCTAAAATGCAAAATCAAATCTCACGGTAAATGAAAGCCATGGTTGACGAAATATTCCCTCTTTTCATGGTAAATCTCGGATTTACGAAATTTTTTGGTTCAGCGGATTTATGGGATTTGGCCGAAGAAGCGCGGTTAAGGGAGAAAGTTACCTTCACAGCAAGCGAGCTCCCGTTGTTGCTTCAGATCAAAAAAATGTCGTAACTTCCGATCCAACAGGAAGGTAATGTCGTCGAAGGAACGACGACGATGAAGAACTCACGAAAAATTCTACATTCGTGCGAAGGAACAAAGCTGAACGAAATACAGGAGGGAAAAGTAAAAGTGTAAAACCTAGGTCAGGTGGCTCTAATTCCGTTAGTCAATAATATGTTGTCACGTGCTCTTACTTTTTATCGCGCGGCCCGACGACACGTCTCGCACCGGAATCCGGGATTACTATGTTCGCGTATTGCTAGGTATTACTCGGTATTGCTAGTTATTGCTTGGCAATAATGATAAATATTGTTTTGTGAAGAGCAATACCGAGTAATGCCTAAAAGAACTCGGCATTGCTTGGTATTGGTCTTCACAGAATAGTATTTTTCGTTTTTGTCTAGCAAAATCGACCAATACCTAGCAATACCGAGCAATACGCAAACTCCCGGGTCCGTTCCGGGTCGAATTGTCGGGCCGCGCGGTAAATAGTGAGAACACGTGGCGCCTGTTTGCTGCTCACCGAATGTAGAGCTACGTCAGGTTACCGGACCAAATAAAATTTCAAAACCTAGACACTTCTAATTGTTTGGATAATTTAATTAATATAATTTAAAATATTAATAATTAAGTTAAATTAATTAAATAATATTTAAATAATTGATAAAATTATTATTTAAATACTTAGTTATTTCAAAACAATTAATAGGATTAAATATGACCTAAAATAAAAATAGTTATTATAAAATATTATAAATAAAAATTAAATAAGTAATTAATATTAATAAAGTTTTGTTATATTTTATTAAACTTTTCTTATCGTGCTTTAATTATCCTAATAATGTATGTAAGTTCTTTTAATTGCCTTAAATCCTAAATTGAGCAGTCAAACAGTCACACAGGATTTAACTGGATTTATCATGAATGTTACCAAACAGTTTTCAGGATTTAACCCCCAGGATTTTGTAAATCCGGATTTGAAGGATTTACGAAATCCTACTTAAATGAAATCTTAGATTCTACCAAACAGCCCTTAGTATTTTAAATTTCATTTTCCTGTGCCCTTATGTTTCTATTCTGAAATGCAAAATGCATTTAGGGTTCATTTGGCTGCTTGTAAATAATTAACATGTTTTAGAAATCTTTGATTTCATGATTACTCATTTTGATTTAAAACGAAATCTTCACTTTTTAGAGAATTTTTAGAAAGTTTGTGGAATTTGAAATCTATGTTAGTGTCTAATTGCATTAAAACAAATGAAGGATTAAAAAAGGGGTTATCGTTTATCAACTTATCATGTGTAATTTTAAGTAGCTAAATGGGCTCTTACGGGCATTAGCAGTTTTTTTAAGGTTTACTTTTAGTATTTATGATTTTTAAACTCTAAGCATGAACCTCTAGGGTTTATTAGTTTGTTTTATGCTTGCTTAGAACTGAAGGTTGATTCAAAATTCATGTCAACTCATGCTTTACAGTAAAGCCTTTACTGAATTTTTGGCTTGCTTGTTCTAGTTGTTTCCTTATTGAATGAGATGATTGAACTATTGATATTATACCCTTTTTATTGTTGCAACCTAGATCCCTTCTTAATTATGATGGATACAAGTTAGTTTTTATGATATGTAACTTTAATTTTTTTTCCTTGAAATCCAGTG